AGCTGAGATTCAGAGTTGGCGTGGGGAGTTTCTGATGCGGCGTTAGAATGGATCATCAACTTCCTGTCCCCAGTCTTTCTCTTTCCATCCTTCCACCTTTATCTCATTGCCAAAGTTCTGGAGCTGGAACTCTGGCTGTCCCCTCCTCCTCTGGCCACTGGGGGCCCAGTCCTCGCTCTCTGATGAATGTGTCTGGAAGCAACTGCTTTGTCCTATTACCATTCCAAAGATACTTGAGGCGTGAGGCCCATTTTATTAAGATAGTTATTGAACAGCAGTGTCAGTAAAAAAGAGATAGAATAAGTCTGCACTTATCTGCATGTTAGACTACATGTTACTACAAATTACCCCAACTTTAAAAAAATTATTTTTTTAAGTTGACAAATAATTGTACGTATTCATGGGGTACATAGTGATGTTTCAATGCATAAAATGTATGGTGATCAGATCAGGATAATAACTGTATCCATTGTCTCAAGTATTTATCATTTCTTTGTGTTGGACCATTCAGTATCCTTCTAGCTGTTTGAAACTATATAATGTATTATTGTTAACTATAGTTATCCTAAAGTGGTATAGAACACTAGAACTTACTCCTCCTATATAGCTGTAATTTTGTATCCTTTAACAAATCTCTCCCTTTCCCCATCCTTCCCAGACTCTAGTATCTAGTATGTTCTACATTTTACTTCTATGTAATCAACTTTTTATAGCTTCCACATAAGAGTGAGAACATGCAGCGTTTAACTTTCTGTTCCTGGCTTATTTTGCTTAACGTAATGTCTTCCTTTTCCATCCATGTTGCTGCAAATGACAGGATTTTGTTCTTTTTTATGGCTGAATAGTAATCCATGGTATATATATATATACCACATTTCTTTTAGCAATATAATTAAGGGAGGAAAAGTGCTGGATTTGGAGATAGTAGGCCAGTTTAAAATCTAGTTTTGCCTGTGTGTTATCAGGAGGCCTGGGTTTGTATTTAAGTGCCTACATGTGATAACACCTGAATGTATGTGATGTCATTGTTTCTAGACCCATTCATCAGATAGATCTGGGAAATACACACACACACACACACACACACACACACACACACACATTTTTACATACACACACCTATATTTATCTATCTCTACCAGAAACCATGAATTTATACTAATCCCTTCAGTTACTATCCAATATTACATGGTTGATTCTAGCCTTCCTCCTTTTCATATCTGTAACTTTCCTCTCCTCTCTAATAGTGAGGCATCTGGCTCCTT